TCGAGCTGCACAACGACTGCCCTCTACAGCGTTAGTTTTATACGGTTGAGTTAACTGCTGTAAGGACTTCTTATATACATTTCTTTAAAATAATTTTGCAGTATTTAACGCGTCGTGTCGGCGTTAGAATATCCACTAACCATCAACGTCTCATGGGTGCCGTAAGAGGCGACAGAGGGAAACAAACCAGAAGATGGGCAGCAGCATATTCCTAAAAACAAATAAAATAAGTGAAATTAGCCAAATAAACAAATAAATAATACCATATACAGTTGTTTTCATATTCATACCTTGTTATCCGATTCAATATTTAAAGTCTGTGGCTCATCGGGAAGTTAGTTTAAAAAATCAATTACTAAAATTGACCCGAACAGTATACACGTAAGCAAGTTAGTCAAAACTAAAACAAAGCCGAGCGTGGCAACTATGGCAAATATCGTTCCAATAAGGCAATGTTTGGGAAAGGCCTATATCCAGCGGTGGACTTTTGATGGACTGTAACGATAAGTACATTATATTTCAATGGTTGTTGGTTGCAAATGGTTTAACGTGCATATGTGTGCGTGAGTGCGAGTTGTTACAATATGAGCACGGTTTTATGTTACTTGAAATGTACGTAATGTTTAGTCTGTATTTATTGTTTATTTAAAACAAATAATTACTAACGTGACTCAGAGGTTCTTTGCTAAGTGTAGCACTCAACGTGTCGTGCAGAAGTCGGTCACATTTTGAATACTTCGTTCACTTTAGCTGTTGTAGAGAGTGCAAGCCTTTGTCAACATGTTGAGGGAAAAACGATAGACGGTCTCATTGCTACATAGCAGTCTCTTCCAGACAACCCTGAAAAATAATAAAATAAAATAAGACAAAGATTAACAAGTAGGATGCATTACAATAAAGAGGAATACCAATTACAATAAATAAAACAAAGAAGAGAGAGGGGGTAGAGAATCAAAAAAAAATTCTATAACCTGTTTTATATTTAAACAAATGTAAGGATTCATAACTTTTAATCGATTGGAATAACTAGTTCCGAAGTCTAACTGTATGAACAGAGAAGGATTTGTTATAAAATGTAAAGGAATTCAGGAATCATTAAGGGTGAGATTTTTCTTGAACCGTAAGGAACAATTATGACAGGAGCTGAGCAATTTAAAATGTCTTTCACTGGATCTTTCATCTGAAAACAGACTGTGTGTCTTTAAGAGTATAGTAAATTTATTTTTAATATTTATACTTTTTGTAGTTAAATACTCTTTGTTGATTCCCCTGTAGACTTGTGGTCGTAACCGCAATTGCTGATTAAAAGATCCTGGATTGGAATCCCGGGTCGGGCCAAAATCATTTATTGGGTTTCCTGTCAAGAAATTCTGAATAGCTAGCATCCCAGTGTCAGAAAATAGGCGGTTTTTCACCCCAGGAAAGCACGTAAAATCGTTTGTTCTGCGCCTGATCTCTCTCCGGTCGAGTCGGATTGCCGACGCATCGGACTATGAGAGTGAGGGAGTAAAGTGTCAATTTGTTTACTCACTCACTCGTACAATATGATCTTGTCCTGCGTAGATGGCTAGTTTCCGTTGAAACCGGACGATGTGGTGGATTATAATGCGGCCTCCTACTACATGGAGTAAGCACCTGGCAACACATGCAGAAAGTAGATGGGTTAACTTAGGATATAGGACAAAAGTCCACTGTCGGTGTATGTCCACTTACACATATCCCCACTACTTGCTCCCTTGAGTTACCACTGTTAGCAGGCGAATTGGCAACAGCAGTTTTTTTTTGCAATTTAGAGTTGTCGTCTTGAAGACGCTGCTGCCCATCACCTGGTTTATTTTCCTGTGTCAGCTTATACAACACCCACGGCACGATGTGGGGTAGTGGATACACGCAGTAAGTAAATGAAGGATGGATGCTGATAACTCTGGGCCGTGCTTTGTGCCATTCTTTTGGGGAGTCCTATGTTCAAGTTTGGACTTGCATTCATTACAGGCTATGAAAAGTTCAATGCTAAGCATAGGCGTCTCTCTAGATTGTCTCAAAGGAAGTATATTTGCTACAGTTACCACAATTGGCAGGCGGTTTGGCAATCACCGTTTTTTTTAATAGTTTTGACTTGTTGTTTTAAAAATGTCCTAATTCATTTCCACCTGCCGTTTGTTTCGTATAACCGGATGTTTAGAAGTTTCTCAGTATTTGTCTTATTTAGTTTTCTTAAACATGTTGTTCAAATATTATCTTATCCGATATTTTATTTGACGGATATAGGTTATGCAAGGTTTCATTTTTATATTCTTCTATTTCATCAGCCGTACCGTGTAGTGGCATTGCAAGAACATCCAATACTCCATATCGGTATCTTAAGAGGCAACTGACCGAAAAAAGACACCAGGAGAAAAACAAACCTTCCAACTTAAAATAATAAAAAACTGCGTTTGCCAACCCGCCTGCCAAGCATGGTTACCATGGGAAATGTTCTCTTAGAGGCAATCTATGTGGGAGGCTCATGTGCGGCAGTGGACTTTTATAGGCTGTAGTGGACGTATAACAATAGAGTTTCTTGTCGGTTCGTAATCAAGTATATTAATTTGTGGATTATAAAAGTGCAATACAATACTGATGTGACGTATGAGGTATTATTTATATATAGTACTGGGTATAACGACTTTTTAAATACTTTATCTTATAATTAGTGATTTACACCGGCTTCGTCTGGATAGGATCCTTTAATGTGGCGCCAGTTAGGTTTAGATTACTAGGACCATTTTTTATCAATTTCTCCTTTTTTTTAAAAAAAAGTCTACAACTTTTTCGGATAAAATATAGTTTATATCTCTCCTGATATTACTCTATATTTGTTCATAAAGTTTCATCAAAGTCGCTTCAGCCATTCCGAAGCTTTTCCCGGACAGACAGAGAGATATTTTTTTTAAATAGTTGTTTATGTCATAATACCATACAAATAACCCTCAGAGCTTAATAGAAACGAGTTATTTCAATATAACAGAGAGATACTACAATTATTTCATTATTTTAAATGAAAAAATATATGTACTCGTATATAGCTTTTCATTTCAATTAATAAAGAAAGTCACTAAAGCTTAAACTCCTACAAAGTAACACGCTGAACAGCACTTTCATTATATCCCGAGGCATTTTACTTGCTTTAAGAAAACTTTCCTATTTCACAGCGCTCAAATTTTTTTGTCATAGAAATATTAGCTCAGCATACTATCAATGGACCACTTTCTTTGTTCAGTGAAGTAAAGTTGCAGCTTATATACACGTTTTTTTTTTTAAATCTGCAGTGACAATTGAATTTACAAAGTACCTGATTGTAAGTGGACCGGGAGTAAGACACTGGACACAAATGCACACTTGCAATTGACTTCAACCAAAGAAGGCTGCAGATGAGGCGTCACCTCTGAGGACTGAGATGGAATGCTTCACAGACCGTATTTGGACCACTCTATATCCTTAACACCGGTACACAGCAGTGCAGGCGCTGCTATTTGACGGCAGAAGTAGGTAAAGCCCCTTACCATCCGGTGGACGGTAAGTTGGCTTGTTACATGAGTTCAATACAAAATATGTATAGAAAGTGATATACGATACAACTTATGGGCCTTCAAGAAACGAGCTTATTGCTTTTTAAAAGGCCGGAACGAACTGCGGCACCGGCCGGCCGGTGTTGCAGTTGTTCATGGACGGCGCTCGACACTTATCATCAGGTGAGTCGCATGCTCGCTTGACCCCTCTTATATTAAGAAAAACACTTTCAACACATCGCTCCCAAGTCTGACACTAACTGTCAGAATTCTCGCAAATGAAGCCATAAAATAAAGAAAAACTATAAAAGGCTCCCAATACAAACTCATATTAAAACGTAGCTAGTGAGAGTAAATTTTTCACCGCGAGGAATAAGGTACAAATTAGAAGCTTATGACGTAGATATTTTTTTTTAATTTATTGTTTTTTATTGAAATTTTATCGTAATAAATATAACTAATTTGAAGACATTTCACCTAGCAGTCGCTCTACTTTACTTTTTACCTACTACAAGTATCCATGCGTAAAGTAGGATGCACATGATTTGAATTTTGTTATTTAATTGTTTTTCTTTAATAAAATATAAGGTGAACTTTTAGTTCACCTTATATTTAATGGAAAAAATATTAAAGTCTATGGCTTCTTGCCTTAGACTTTAATATTTTGAATATTTGTGCGAAAGCACAACTATTACGCCCTATTTTTCCTTTCGGTAAAGAATGCCACCCGGTATACACTTTGACTTCTATTCTCACCACACATACGTTGGCACGTCATTTGTAATATAGGAAAGGGTGATGAATGAATAGGAGACGTGTTGCTTTCACAAGAACTTTAATTATACTGCTCAAACTTATTCTACCTTAACACTACTACCTACACATTACATATACAATATATGGAACTCCTTCCCTCCGCTCGCTCAAGTCTCGCTCAAGTCGCAATAAGTAGGTAACTCAAATGAACGATGCGATTACCGCCGCGTGCCGAGTTCATAAAGGTTCGTACAATTTAAGGAAAATGACGCTTAGCAAAGTTTTGCGAACTGGTTGCAACGCTTAGTCGTTTTATTTCCGCGACGAACTTAATTTTTCTTACGAAAAAATGAGTAGCGAGTTTACCGTTCAGTTCATAGCGAGCTACAAGTACTTTGTCATTTATTAGCACAAGTTGCCCAATAATTATTATTTCCAATACTTACACGAATACTGCACATAGAATAAAACTAGTTTTAGAGATTTTATCATGTTTTCAACCCTCAAACCCTACACTGCCTGGCGTATACAGTATTCCTACACAGGGGTGACAAGGCACCCCAAAATAAAATAGTTAGTAAAGTATAGAAATAGAAACAGTTATAGAAAATTATACTTTTATTTATATTAATTGAAATTATGAGATCACGAATCAGCCTTAAAATTTTACATTACACATCAATTTGAGCACTGTTGTCATACTTTAACTTGGTGTTCCAAGCAAATTGGAATTTTGCACTTGGTGCACCTCGTCTTGCTCTTCCGATCACTATTTCTCGGACAGAAACCACAACGCCCCTGTGTGTGACGTTCAGACCCAGAAGAATCGACAGGCATGGGTTGCTTGACAATCGCCGCGATACTCTCCTTTATATCCCTCTTCAAAGTTGGTGTTTGTAGGCGCATTTTCAAATGCTCATCTATAAGATTAATTCCCAATTCTTTTAGAAAAGTCCGACGAAGCTTTATGTCAGGCTTATTATTTGCTTTTGAGCATTTGTAGAGAACCCAAGAGTTAATACCAACTCCATTCAATAACCCATAGAAAATGCACATTGGCCAACGTTTGGTTCTTCTTTGGACTGAGTATTTTTTAGCCATTGCATCGAACACATCCACTCCTCCCTTTGTTTTATTATAAAAATGAATAATTTCTGGAAGCTCAACTTCATTGTTGTTATCTGGGGAATCGTGGAGAGTTGACAACATGATGATGACTTTTTTCTTTGTTGATTTCGGTGGGCAATAGGACAACAGAGTTAGAGGTCCATCATACGCAAACATAGCGGTATTTTTTTCTCTGTTTGTTAACTCCAAAAAGGACTCTGGTATTTCTCCTTTGTTTTTTCGCGTCGTTCCGACCATGGTCAATTCCTTTCCAATCAGATTTTTGGCTAATGGTATGCTGGTGAACCAGTTGTCCATGGTTATGTTGCGACGGGATCCATACAATGGCTTGGAGAGTTCCATAACGTAGTACTCAGGCACTGACATATTTTGAGGGGAGGGTGTTTGACCTACGTAAACAATGGCATTCAACATGTAAGCTGTCTTAGAATCGCAGTTCATCAAAATTTTTATCCCGAACTTATCGGGCTTTGAACTGGCTTTGTACATTTTAAAGACACAGCGCCCTCTAAAAGCCAATAATTGTTCGTCAATAGTACAACAATCAGTTGGTGTGTAGTATTTGTCACACTTTTTTACAATATGATCAAACACTTCACGAATCGGAGCTAAGCGATCGGTAGCTCGACGTTCTTCGCGTGTGTCTCTGTCATCAAATCTAAGGCAATTTGTCAAGAACTCGAATCGACAACGGGACATTGTGGCTCTGAAAAGCATCACGCCAGTAAACTTGTCAAACAACTCTTTGGTATTTATGTCGTTCATTTTAAACACTCCTGCGAGATAATAAAGCCCAATTAAAGCCTTTAACTCTACCAATGATACTGGTTTTACAAATGATGGTAAACTGGACGAGGCGATATTCTCTTCACCATCTTCTTCCTCCTGAAAGCCTTTATATTTCTTACGTTGTTTTTCAATTTCTTTATTTGTATGATATACAATTTTATTTAGTATTTCGTTATTTAGAAAGAGAGCCCAACCTTCTATTGGCTTTGTAATACTTTTCGCTTCACTTTTGTTTCCAGATAAATGCATAATAATGTTGCGCTGCTGAGTTCTACGCCTCACTGGCTTTTCTCCACTCCACTTGTGTCTATTATTTTTTCCTTTCCCGTAAAGAACTCTTGGAACATTCAATACCTTTAGTTTTCCTTGTCTTCTTAAATCCTGAGATAGCTCTCGCAAAGTCATATCATCATCGCTACTAAATGCATCCTCTTCATTATTTGTTTGACCAATCACATTCATATGACGAAAATCTTCTAAAACACCATCAGGTTCATCATCAGAATCTTCTGTAACTGAACCACGAAAAACTAGGTCTTCCTCGTCACTTGATTCCTGATTTACTATGAGACGTATTTCTTCATCATTCAGTCCACCTTCCACAGCCATCTGCAAACCAAAACGTAAAAACACTAAAAATATTGAAAAATATACTGTTGTGCAATACATATTTTTGAATTTTAAAGGAAAAATTAAGTAAAATTGAATTGTATAGGTTATGTTTTATTTTACACCATAACCTCTATAATCAAATGTTTGAACCGCAATCTATACGTTTATAATAAAATAGTTCAACTATAGAAGTAAGCTTAAAAAATTAGTCTTATATAATTTTTAAAAACTTACGTTGTTCCTACATTGGGGTGCTACAGCACCCAACGACACACGTGCACACGTCTACAACAGCCGGCTATCGCCGCGACACTGGCCAATCCGTGGCGCGTAACCTCAAAGTAAAATACGCGGAAAGTCAAACACGTGCATTATCAATCAACGAAATAAATAAGAAAAATAAACCTTATGGGGTGCTCCAGCACCCCGAGTAGGGTTTGAGGGTTAACAGTGGTAGAGCCACGCGGCAGCTTTTGCTGTCGCACGGATGGGCCGGCTCGAACCGGGGTGGTACCACGACCTCACAGAATACCAGCGTGAAGTAGAGGTTTACCTCTGCGTTTCGTTTGGTGAGTGCAGGTGGCCGGCAGCCCTTTTTACTGGAAATGAAGCATTCCATCTTAGTCCTCACGGGTGACAACGCATCTGCATTTTGATTTGCAATCGAGGATAGATGTAGATGTCTATGGGCCGCAGCAACCACTTACCATCAGGTGGACTGTGTGCTCGTTTGTCACCCTATCCTATAAAATAAAATAAAATAAAAAATAAATACGTTTAATTTTAATGCAAGGATCATTGGCTATTGAAAAAAAAAAAAATCTAATTTCAAAAGAATAAAAATAAAAAAACAAAATAGAAATATATGTGTGCGTGTGCGTGACAACTATGGCAATATACATACCGGTGGGTGAAGTATAGGGCGTCCCCCCACTAGAGGAACTGAATGCAGGTGGCTCGGGACCGTGCTTTATGGCATTACTTGGGGGAGGCCTGTGTTCAGCAGTAGACTTGTGAAGATCAATGATGATAATGATGAAGCCAAACTGCAGATATATTACAGCTGCAGCACGATAAGATCGGATCGAGGAACATACTCTCCGCGTGAGATAGCAGCTGAATATCACTATGTTTTGTACGCTGAGTGTAGAAAAACAGAGATCCTTTTTACAAGAAACAATCTCAAATCTGCATTTTTATTCCTAATCGCGGATAGATTTCGATGTTAGATGTTAGATTTTCCACAGCATCCACTTACAATCAGGTGGACTGTGTGCATGTTTGTTGTAAATATTATTATTTTATCAAGAAATTTCCAAGCCATTACACTCCCTTCTTTGCTACAGCACTGCGTCTGACATTAATAATCATTTATTAGGCAATAAATTCATAGCGATTTCGCGCCGCGTCAATCGGATCAATCGACGATACGCGAGCTTGAAAAGTTTATGATTCGTTATTCATACTGAAAATATACAATTTGATAATATTGATTTGCTTTGACTATTGAAAAGTGAAAAATTGTATTAATCATTGCTTTGTAGTACGTTCATGTTAAATATAAAGGGAAATATAAAACACATGATATAGGTAATCTGCCAGGTGAAGCCAGGGCAGGTGATTAGTAGTTAACATAATTACGGTTATTAAAAAATCGTCGGTTTATTATTAAAGACTAGAGGAGCCACGGGTGAAAGCTAGTATTGAATAAAGTCACACAATACGGTACTGTGGAAAATATTTTAATTGCTTTCCAGTTCGACGCATTTCAATACGAACATTTTTTTAAAAGGAAAGTGTACGTTAATTTAAAAGTACTGCAGCGTTCAGTTACTGACGCACTTGACCTGCTTCTCTCAGTGAAACATAAACAACGCTAGAGTTTTAATGAATAGTCAAGGCTAAAGTTAGCGTTAATAATAAAGTTAAGATTATGTCTAAAGTTAAGTTTAGTTTTGAGTGTACTCGTAGGATAATGATGTCTATTTCTGTGATAAGCCGTCCCAACTTAAGTTTGAAAGAAAGGAAGTAAAATTAAATGAATGAATCTTTGTTTTTGGCTTAAGAAATTATATTTATTTCTTGAATATGTTACGCGTTCAAATTAAACGCGATATATAGGTTAATTTAGTTTTGTTTTTTGTGCGTACATGATGTATTCACCATGGATAATACCACGGTATTCAAATCGATAATATCATTTTGTGACTGTCATTCCATGACTTCAATCAATTAAAAACTTGATTCGCTCGTTAAAATAAAATAAATAAGTCGGGTAAAACAAAGGAACCTAACGTTCCTCATGGGGATATCCGCAGGAGAACCAGAGTAATCGACAGCCCAACGGTACAGTAAGGTGAAGAAGCAATAGGCCGGCCTGGAAGAACTAACAACCGATGCGGAAGAAAGGTTCTCGAGTGGCAGCCTGTGGTACCGGTAGGCGAAGTGTAGGACGACCCCCCACTAGATGGAGTGATAACCTGGTAAGAGATAAAGTGGATGGATGCAGGTAATTGGGGACCGTGTTCTGTGTAATTCCTTGGGGGAGGTATATGTTCAGCAGTAGACTTGTGAAGAGCTGTAATGGTGATGATAATGAAACATAAAAGTTATTCTTACGAATTGAGAAACTCCTTTTTTTGTAAGTCGGTTGATAGTGACACTTGCATCAGTAATAACTCTCCGTGTGTCTTATTGTATAAACTAAGAACTAACTACACAACTAACCAGAGTTTCAAACTAAATCAAAACATTTCGAATACTTCAACACAACTGCGATCCAAACTACGTACAGTTGACGAGGGTCCACGCATTGTCCGTACTCACAACGGCTCTACACATTGTTGCGTGAAACGATTAGTTTCAATATAGCGCTCCAACATTTATATTGTTTAGCTGGCCTGGCAGACATTGTTCCTTTCCAGTAGGTGGCGTGATCACATCGATTTCACTCGGGACTTTTTAATGTAAAATAATGGTACATTAGCATATAAAACTTTATCTATCAATTCATCAGTGCCGGCGGGGTCGTGCAGACAAAATAAAGCTGATCTCGTGATATTAGGTGGCGGCAGTCCTTCCCCGCCTAGGAGTTCGTCTTAGTAGATATTGCCCTCTTAGCTATTTCTGCTGCCGAATAAATAATGCTTTGACTGCTTTGTTCTAGACCGAAGGGTATAGAGATCCAATATATATACAAACTGTGAGGCACGCCATATTAGACCTCACTGGTGACAACGCACCTGTAGTCTTCTTTGTTTAAAGTTGGTTATAGTTGTCCATGAACTGTAGAAGCTCACATTTTATAGAATAATGGTAACAATAACACAGTCTACTAAATGGTAAGTGGTTGCTGTGGCCCATAGACATCTACATCTATCCTCGATTAACAATTAAAATGCAGATGCGTTGTCACCCCTGAGGACTGTGATGTAATCTACTTGTATCCAGTAAAAAGAGAGGCTCTGGATCTCTATACTTACTATACGAAAGAAAGCAGCATTAAGCTGCTATTTACCGCTGTTATTCTGTGAGAGCGTAGCCCTTCTCCGATGGAGTCGACCCATTTATGCTACAAATATATATGCTACAGTTATATATTTGTAGCACAAATGCTCGATCACGCACAAAAAGTCTGCTAGTCTTATAAATATATTTTTGTGTGAGTGCGTGTTCTTACAATAACCTGAGCATAATTTTGGCGTAACTAGAAATTTTTCGTTTACTTTTCTACCGACTTAAAAAAGGAGACGGTACTCAATTCGACTGTATGTTTTTTTTAATGTGTGTTACCTCATTACTTTTCACTGGGTGAACGGATTTCTATGATTCTTTTTTATTTGAAAGCTGGTGAATTTAAATAAAAATTTGATCACGGTCTGACCAATCGTTTTTGAGTTATTCTTAATAATTTATATTGAAGTCCGTTGCACAACATTTTTCATTTAAATTTTAAATTATTTTTAAAACTTTACTCCTACACTAGAATTTTCTCCTGTGACGTGGCAGCAGTTTACATAAATACATTTTACAAGAATAAACTTCAAGGTCCGGAGCATATTATTTGTAGGCCATACAAAAATTTGTTCCGTGCGGGATTCGAACTCGCGGCGCCTAACATTGCTACTCATTGATAAGCCACTGCGCCACGGAGCCGTCAAATTAAATACAAAAATTACAATTATCAGTTTTACAGTTGCGGGGGGGGGGGGGAACAAACTCAGTGTCTTCGTGTACTGTGAAACTACAGCGAGTGCTCAACCTTTGAGCTATCACGGCTCTCTTTCCATCCGACTACCCACATTATAATCGCATCGGAAGACAGCCGCTGGCAAATTTTTACACTCCACTGCTATGCATATTACGAACTGCTTGGTCGGGATTTCAATATGCTTTTTTTTTAAAACTAGAAGAATGAAACCCCGTTCATTAGGTTACAATTTACATTAATATTTAGGACTACGACGATGCCCGAAGGAGACTGATGGTAGGTCCCCACTGACTGTGGTCCTGATGATGGGTGCCTCTACTATGTTCACAAAAAATGACAAGACTGTGTCGTTGTTTGTGAATATAGGACATTGAAGAACACTTTTGGATTTTCCAAACTATTTTAATTTATTTGCCCCCAACAACCTCAACACAGTAACTCTTACAGGAAGCTCATCACGAAACGGTGTCACAATTTAAAATAACTGAAAAACTGCTTTAAAAACTTAAAGAAATTCTATTTTATTACACAGTACCAAGCTGTAAACATTAATAACTCTGCTTCCATTCGCCTTGTACGATTGTGTCGGCGTTCTTTTGAATGTGCAATCTCTCGCAGCTCGCCTCACTGTTTGTTACACCTGGGGACTAAGTCGGTATGCCTCAAGTCAATATCAAGTAAAAACGTTTTTTGTGTCAGTTGCATTAAGCTGCTATTTCACGCTGGTATTCTCTGTGAGTATGGTTCCTTCCCGGTCGAGCCGACCCATTTGTGCTACAAACATAAT